TTATTGTCATGTGTTTGTGAAGATTATCAAGTGTGGAATTTTATTCAGATAATATATACATATAGATAATTATGATGCCAAGTCACTCCAAATGAATATCATTTATGGTAAAACGGAGGGAAGCTGTGCATCGTAAATGATTTAAAAAAAATTTTTATGTTTTGCATAGCAATCAATTAAATTAATAAAATGTCATAACAAGACTACATCGTTAAAAATATATATAACTAAGATAATATAAGTATGTAAAATTAATATATTAGAAAAAAAGAAAAATTTCATAATATAGTTTTCAGTTTTTTTTCTTGTAATAAAAGATACAATTTCAAAATTTCAATTCTTCCATTTAGTATTAAAAAAATTTGCGTGTAACACGTCACTTTGGGGGTTAACATATATAGTAAATTTGTTAAACTTGTGCTTAATTCCTCACAACAATGACATCAACAAAAATGAAGATGTAACTTTGTAGAGAAAGGTCTAAAATTACATATTGTTTTTTGGACATGCATTTCCATTTTGGAGTTAAAGGATCTGTAAGATAAATAAAAGTTGTGCGTCGGAATTTTATTCCAATATTAACATAATTATATATAATAATAAAGGCGGTGGTGACCTTTTCCATTTTCTATTAATGCGAATCTATGGTGGACGGTTACATTTTTTTTTTTAAAGTACTTTCAAATCATAATATTGGCGGTCACATTCAATAGAGTTTTCCCCGATCCTATATTAATACATACAGGGTTTATTTCAAACGATATTGATTGTATTCATAAATAATTAGATTTTTCTCATTAAAACAACCTACAAAATTTGCAAATAAATTCGGTATACATGTAAACCGAAACTTCTCTATAATGAACATGAATATTCCAGATAAATGTTTCATTATATAGAGGTTTACTGTATATGTGTAAAATCAAAAAAAAAATACTTAGCTTTTTACACCAGATGATAAGAACTATTATTGGGTCTTTCTACAAAACTTATGTGATAATATAACTTGGAGCTTCGATAAAAGACAGATGTGATTATGAATAACAAGTAAACGAGGTTTTGAGCAAACTTGGATATATTCCTAAAAAAGTTTAAGAAGAATTGATTGACATTTTTGGGAAACAAAATAAAGGTCATGTATAATGTATAGTGGTAGGGTTTTTTATTTACATCCAATAGTCAATGACTAAAGTTTCAAGTTTCGCCATAATACTAACATAGGGAACCATTTTATTTATTTAAAACATGATAACAAGAAAATTATGCCCCAAAGATTAAATTAATTTTTGGGTTTAAGAATAACTTTAAAATCAGTTACAACATTTATGAAACTATCAATAAATTTGAGTTGATTTTCTTTCTCATAATATTCAATATCATAATTTCTCAATAAATTAATAAGAACTGAAGCTATTGTAATCCTTGCCATGAGACGACCAGGACAGATGCGTACACCACCACCAAAAGGTGTATAAGTATATTTGCCTATTTTGTCTACCTCACATTCTAGAAACCGTTCTGGTTTGAATTGATCGGCATCTTCCCAACAATCAGGGTTTTTCTGCAATCCATTAACATCTATAAAAGCGCATGTACCAGCTGGCCAATTATAGCCACTAATTTCCGCATTTTCTGATGTTGTCTGGCGAATCAATGCTGGTGCTATAGTGTGATACCTTAAAAATTCTTTCACAACGGCTTGAGAATATTCCATTTTCTCATAATCTTCATGTGTCATTGGACGTTTTGAGTTATCAGCAAATACTTGATTAATTTCTTCCAGCATCTTTTCTTTAACCTCTTTATGTGCCAAAATAAGATTGAGCCCTATGCTAATCATATTTGCTGTCTAAAAAAATTAAAAAGTTAAGTTAGGAATATTTATATGTATGTATGCTAATATATGATACCATGTAATACTACACATATTTTATCACAATGCTTACAGTGTCAATTCCCCCAGCAACAGATTCAAATATATTTGCAACAATTTGTTGTTCATCCATTGGTGGTAATTCACCAAAAGTATTGTTTCTGTCACGTTCAGTATTCAATGTCAATAAAGTTGTTAATAAATCTGGTCTCAACTGTTCGTTCAATGGCTCTTTTTCAATTTCTTTTCTACGTTCTTTAACAATCAAATGTAAGGCTTCTTTAATTCTAAAAAAATTGCGAATCCATTTTTTCTGCTGATCTTTGAGAAAATAATTTTGTATAAATGAAGGAATTAATGTAATTTTTATAAAAGATCTAATAAACAGATTCACTAAATCTGAAAATTCTCGTGAAATGTCTATCAAGTATTGTGGACATTTCTCTTCATTCTTCACATCATCCAATGAAATTTTGCTGTAGGAAGCTGATGAATAAGTGGGCATACCAGTTGATAATTTAAAACTTAAATCAGTTGTATAAGCTCTTGCCCATTCTACAATATTAACAACAAATTCTTTTTTTGTCCCATAATTTATTTGCCAATATTTCATTGATTTGTCAAAATTTTGTTGATTGGTGGTGACAAATTCTTTTAAAATTCTTGGTGATAATAACACTTGTGAAGTAAGTTTTCTATTATATCTCCATGTTGGGTAGTTATTATTAAATACCATACCAGTGTTCATATTGTATTCGTGGGATGAACCTAATTCAGGCCTATTAAAAAATTTGTTTTTCGGTGAATTATTAAAAACCTTTTCAACCTCCTTTGGATCAGATACAACAATAAATCGGCGTGTCATAAGGTAAATCTCGAATGTACTACCATATCGCCTTGATAATTTTTTTAAATCTTTAGATAGTTCTAATCCAAACAAATGTAGATTTCCAATAAGTGGTAATGGTGTAGGGCCATTGAGAGGATTAATACGAGTAAAATATTTATAATAAAATCTTATAATGTACAAAATGAAAACAACAAGTAAAATCTTGATCCATTCAAGATTTAAAATAGTATCACTGCTAGTAATATTTTTTTGAAAAAATTTTAATAAACCCATTTTCAAAATGCTTTGTTTTGAAATTTGTTTTAATGAAAAAATCTAATTATTTATAAATACAATATAAATCCTAACGTATGAATTTTATCTCCATACACGATGAAAATGCAGATCATACATACATACATCTATTATATTAAAATTATTGGATTCACGTGAGTATAACGTTTAGACCACTACATATGCAAATAAATGTATATTCACAATAAAATTTCATACATTACGTATCACAATAAAATCAGTCAATTGTAACCCGACCTGTCAGCGAAGAGACGGGTTACAACTAATTTTTATTAAATTAATAGTATTAATATAAAATTTATGTATGAATATATAAATAATCAATCATATAACAATACAGAACATACAGGTGTTACGAAAACATGTAATGTATTAATATTAATACGAATCTTGGTTTTTTATAATTATGCGAATCAAAATAGCCGAGAACATATGAAATTTATCTTTATTGATTAAAAATATTTAAAAGAAAATTTTGTGTACTTGACTGACTAAAATGATTATAAATTAAAAATGTTTCATCATCTACTGCAATCAAACAAGGATTAATATTAGAATAAGAACG